ACAATTTTCTATCACAAGATATTATAGTACTGTAGGATATTCTATCAACATATTAGAACAAGTAGTCGTTTCTAGGGTTTCCAGGGTTTGTAGGGTCTGGGGTTTGGCCCCCTAGAAATCCCTTGTGAATCCTGAGTTCAGGGTCCGCGAAGAAGCGCACCATTGGAGAAAGTGGACTTCTTGTACAGAAAGGATGTACTCTATTATGCTTTATTTGTATATATATATATATATATCTGTTATATATTATACCGCATTATGTATCTAGATATGTGTGTTATATATAATATTATACTAGAGTATATCATATTGTATTGTAGTATGTTTTCTCACCTCGGGGTGCATAACTTAGAGGCGGGGCTGGTGGTTTCCATTTTTTTGGTGATGGCATCGGGCATTTGTTTGTCCAGGATGGCAGTTCTGACGACCGCACCTCAGGAACAAGCAGCATAGATTTGTAGAAGCCCAGCTGATAGAGAGGCGGAAACATGGGGCGCATGTACGGCAAGGGCAAAGGCATTGCCTCCTCGGCAATTCCTTACAAGCGCACCCCGCCCACGTGGCTGAAGATGAAGCCCGAGGATGTTGGTGAGCACATCTGCAAGCTCGCCAAGAAGGGCCTGACCCCATCTCAGATTGGCGTGACCTTGCGAGATAGCTTCGGTATCCCCCAGGTCAAGAATGTCACGGGCAACCACATCCTGCGCATCCTGAAGACGAATGGCCTGGCACCCACCCTGCCGGAGGACTTGTACTACCTCATCAAGAAGGCAGTGTCCATCCGCAAGCACTTGGAGAAGAACCGCAAGGACAAGGATGCCAAGTTCCGACTGATCTTGGTTGAGAGCCGCATCCACCGCCTCGCCAGGTACTACAAGCGCGTGAAGTCGCTGCCGGCCACCTGGAAGTACGTCTCCGCCACGGCGTCGGCGTTGGTGGCCTAAGAGCGGAGCTTGTTATATGTAGGCCATGCTGTAGCTGGGTGTCAGGCAACCTTTCGATCAAAGAATTGCTGCGAGTGAAAACATTTAGTTTTGCCAGCCAGTTCCGGATGTAAGTGCAAGCTCCATTGCCTAAACTGTTGGCTGTCTGACTTGCTCGACCCAAGAGCATGGTAGACTTGACGACTTGGTATCTAGTCGGAAGCATTTCTGCAAATCAGATGTTCTCCGTATCGCCGAGCGGCACGAGCAGCATAGTTTTGTAGAAGCCCAGCTGATAGAGTGGCGGAAACATGGGGCGCATGTACGGCAAGGGCAAAGGCATTGCCTCCTCGGCAATTCCTTACAAGCGCACCCCGCCCACGTGGCTGAAGATGAAGCCAGAGGATGTTGGCGAGCACATCTGCAAGCTCGCCAAGAAGGGCCTGACCCCATCTCAGATTGGCGTGACCTTGCGAGATAGCTTCGGTATCCCCCAGGTCAAGAATGTCACGGGCAACCACATCCTGCGCATCCTGAAGACGAATGGCCTGGCACCCACCCTGCCGGAGGACTTGTACTACCTCATCAAGAAGGCAGTGTCCATCCGCAAGCACTTGGAGAAGAACCGCAAGGACAAGGATGCCAAGTTCCGACTGATCTTGGTTGAGAGCCGCATCCACCGCCTCGCCAGGTACTACAAGCGCGTGAAGTCGCTGCCGGCCACCTGGAAGTACGTCTCCGCCACGGCATCGGCGTTGGTGGCCTAAGAGCAGAGCTTGCTTGCATGTAGGCCATGCTGTAGCTGGGTGTCAGGCAACCTTTCGATCAAAGAATTGCTGCGAGTGAAAAACTTTTTTTTGCCAGCTGCTGGCTCATTGCACGTGATCGGTGCTTGCACTGCAAGGGGAGGAGGTCTAGACAGTTCCGGATGTATGTACATTGCAGGCTCCATTGCCATACTCTTATCTGTTGGACTTTCTCGACCCAAGAGCACGGCAGTCTTGACGGTCTGGTATCTAGTCCAGAGCAGTTGTTCAAAATCATCGCCGAGGCGGCACAAGCAGCATAGATCTGGAAGCCCAGCGTGCCCATCGTAGTGTAGCTGATAGAGTGGCGAAAACATGGGGCGCATGTACGGCAAGGGCAAGGGCATTGCCTCCTCGGCAATTCCTTACAAGCGCACTCCGCCCACGTGGCTGAAGATGAAGCCAGAGGATGTTGGCGAGCACATCTGCAAGCTCGCCAAGAAGGGCCTGACCCCATCTCAGATTGGCGTGACCTTGCGAGATAGCTTCGGTATCCCCCAGGTCAAGAATGTCACGGGCAACCACATCCTGCGCATCCTGAAGACGAATGGTTTGGCACCCACCCTGCCGGAGGATTTGTACTACCTCATCAAGAAGGCAGTGTCCATCCGCAAGCACTTGGAGAAGAACCGCAAGGACAAGGATGCCAAGTTCCGACTGATCTTGGTTGAGAGCCGCATCCACCGCCTCGCCAGGTACTACAAGCGCGTGAAGTCGCTGCCGGCCACCTGGAAGTATGTCTCCGCCACGGCATCGGCGCTGGTGGCCTAAGAGCGGAGCTTGCTTAGATGTAGGAGGTCCTGCTGGCTTGCGGGCGACTGTGCCATGGAATCTGCTGCGCGTCAAAAGGCATCGTCTTTCGTTGCATGGCCGGCTCCTGCAAAGCTGAATCGTCCCTATGCAGTCAAGCGATAAAGTGGTCCAAAGCTAAACCCTAGGCCCTAAGCCCTAAGCCCCAAACCCCCCCAAATGCCAAACCATGCACCCCGCTTTCTGCAAGGTCCTTGGACCGATGTGTCGAGCGGCTACAGAGCATCTTGCCATGCCTGGAAAGGGGAGGGGTACGTAGTTTAGGTTTAGGGTTCGGGTTTAGGGTTTAGGGTTTAGGGTTGAGGGTCTAGGGTGACTTCTGAGAAGTTGCATGTTTGCCGGCAGCCTCCAAAGTCCGTTGCTCAGAAAGGGTTTAGGGTTTAGGGTTTAGGGTTCAGGGTTCAGGGTTCAGGGTTTAGGGTTTAGGGTTTAGGGTTTAGGGACCACCGGAGATCCAAGAATAGACCCAAAGCCTCGGAAAACCGAACCCAACTAGCGAGGGATAAGCCATGGTAAGCCCCAGACTAAACCCTAAACCCTAAACCCTAAACCCTAAACCGTAAACCCTAAACCCTAAACCCTAAATCCTACACCCTAAACCCTAAACAGAAACCCCTAGCTTTTTCTGGCCAGCTTTTCCAGCGAAGAGTGGACTTGAGTTCGGCCAGGAGGCAAAGAATCACGATAAAACCCATCTGGGCCCTCTGTAGGGTCTGTGGACCTGGGACTCAGGGAGAATGTTTGGGGTTTAGGGTTTAGGGTTTAGGGCTAGGGTTTAGGGTTCAGGTTCCATAAACCCTAAACCCTAAAGTTTAAAGCCACGTATTCTTTCAGGTTTCACTTGGAGGCTCATGGCTCATGGACGATTCTATAAGTCGGGCCGGCCCGTCAGGAGGTTGTACAGGTTTAAGAGGGCTTTTGGGTTTAGGGTTTAGGGTTTAGGGTTTAGGGTTTAGGCTTTAGGGTTTAGGGTTCATGACGGCTGGAAGTACTTGTAGGGTTAGGTGCGCAGGAAGTAGGGTACTGCCCAACCGTAAACCCTAAAATCAACACCCCGGTGGCCAAAAGAAACAGCTAACCCCTAAACCCCTTACCCGTAAACCCTATACCCCTAAATCCCGAATTAAACTCTTAACCCTCAACCCCTCAACCCAAAGAGGAGCTAGGACCCAAAGAGGAGCCAGCAGGCACAAAACTTACTGTTGGTTAGTAAGGAATGAGGGAATAAAGTACCCTACCCCTGTATAGACGCTTTGAGGGATTATATAGGGTACCTCATTCCCTACTAACCATCATGGGTTCCCCTACTACCCCCCCTCTATCTACCCCCCCCCCCCCAAGGTTCCCCCCATCATTAAGGCTATTCGGGGAGACTTAAGCTTAATTAGGGTTATTAAAGAACCTAGGGGGGGCGGGGGGGGGGGGGGGGGGGGGGGGGGGAGGGGGGGGCGGGGGGGGAGGGGGCGGAGGGAGGGGAGGGGGGGATTGTTTCTGGTTCAGACAGCTTCTGCTTCCTTGCCGTGTTTTATATACACTCTTCTAGTCTACAGTTCCAGCCTTTTACATGCACTCTTCTAGTCAACACTTCCAGCATTGACACAGGAGTACACCCAAGTCATCCTCCAGCTACAAGAGCTCACATTTTAAAGACCCTAAGCCTAAACCCGTACAGTGCCCTGGGCTATACCATAAACCCTAAACCCTAGACCCTGACAACCCAAAATCTTACACCCTAAGCCTGGGGAAGCGGTTGGGAGAGCGAGAGCGAGGACCCAAGGCCCTAAGCTACCACAAAACACCGGACCGCAAAAACACACAAAACGCGCAAACACCTACTCATAATATGAGGATGTCAAAACACTCAAAACACTGGCAGGCGTGGTACCTTTGACTACAACAATGCTTAGGATTCACTGCACGTTAACAAAAAAAGGTCTCCGCAAAACACGTTTGAACAGCGAAACACTGTCATGCGTGGGTTAAAACCACATTTCGGTGTGCTTACGGACCACGGCCGCTAACCGCGCCGTGTCCTTGTTTTGTCTTACTGTTGGTTTCATAAGGTTCCCCTACTTACCCCCTCTATACTACCGGCCGCTAACCGCGCCGTGAGCCAAAACAACCCTGGCTTGAATCCTACCGCCATGATCCGGGAGTTGTGGGAGATACCCTAAACCCCAAACCCCAAACCCCAAACCCCAAACCCCAAACCCTAAACCCTAAACCCCAAACCCTAAACCCTAAACCCTAAACCCTAAAGGTATCCACGCCGAACTCCTAAGCCCCCGGAGGCATGATCCGTGGACCCAGTTCAGCTGCGGCATGAGAATCTGGAGGGCTTAGGGCTGGGTCAGCTTTCTGCGCAGGGCCCGGATGACCTTCTCAGATAGGGTTTAGGGTTTAGGGTTTAGGGTTTAGGGTTTAGGGTTCAGGGTTTAGGGTTGAGGGTTGAGGGTTTAGGGTTTAGGGTTTAGGGTTTAGGGCATGAAGCAGCTTCCAGGTTCAAAAGGGTTTTGGGTTTAGGGTACCACTGGTACCCTTCTCCTTGTTCTTGGATCCGGGGTTCCCTTATAAAGTAATCCCAACCAACACAAGGGTACCCTTAACATGAGATGTTTGATTCTGGGCTGCTAAGTCTTTGGGTTTACTTGACCATGCAACATCGACTCAGCTATGGAGCGCAAGTTGCCCTACTTATCACATAAACCCTAAACCCTAAACCCTACACCCCAGACCCAAAAAAACCTCATACCTAAAAACTGAGGGGTGGGCGCGATTCGGGGGCCCGAGTTTGGCTCCATGGTTACTGGGGGTTCAGTCTTGAGCGTCAGGGCTACACTTCTTTTGGAATAAAAAGGGGGTTAGGGTTTAGGGTTTAGGGTATAGGGTTTAGGGTTTAGGGTTTAGGGCTTAATTCTTCCCCACGCAAACTCGACACAGGAAACTTCTAGATGAAGAGGGCAGCAGGGAACGCTCCTGAAAGTGTTTTGGGCGATGTGTATGGTCACGGCTGGTTGATGGTTCTTTGTTGTTTGTTGGGAAGCCTGCATCCGAAGTAATGGGCGGAGGCGCCAGATCTTGGTTTCGAAAGAGTTTCGGGCTTAAGGGTGCATGGAATGCCTGAAACCCGGGCGTGCGAAACCGACACTTCAGCTAGCGCGGGTGTCCCAGTTTGGAGGTTCCTGGTGGAAAAAACCCTGGTGTTTTGGGGAATTTTGGGGTTTCAACCGAGATTTGCCAGCTTTCAAGGGCTGAGGAGTTGTCTGACCGAGTTGCGGGTTCGGCCCCGAATTCCCCTGAAAGCAAATAGGGCATCGTTCGTGAGTTCATCTCGAGCCGGCTGCGTGCAATCGTAGTTAGGTGAATTCGCTGCCGCTTCCGTGACACACTCATGGCCGAGTGTTCAGGGTTGTTGCTACAACGCCGGAGGGGCCCCCCGCGCCAGCGAGTAGAAGTGCACGGACATGGAGACCCAAACCCCAAGCCCCAAACCCTACTTCACCCTACGGGTTTAGGGTTTAAGGTTTAGGGTTTAGGGGTTTGAGGTTTAGGGTCCATGTACCTCATTCTTATATGTTTGGACCCCAAAGGTCCCTATACAGGAGGTGCTTTACGGCCCTTACTCCCTATTTAGGCACATTCGCCCGGCTTCTGGCAGGCTTCCGGGCTGCCTAGGGCATGACACGAAGCCCCACACCCTAAGCCTTGCTTTATTTAGGGTTTAGGGTTTAGGGTTTAGGGTTCAGGGTTTAGGGTTTAGGGTTTGCTGTAATAGGCCGTAGATGCTGTGAAGGTTAGGCTTGGAACAAGCTCGAGAGCTTCGTGAAGTGCGGCAAAACCACCCAAACCTATTCCTTTTTAGGGTTTAGGCCTCAACTCAAGTCCACTGCTTACTTGCAATAAAACTTCTTTATTCCGTCACGGATGGGCCAGGCTAGTTCCGGGTCAGAAGGGTCAGGGCCTGGCTCAGCCGCAGGCCCGCGCATAGAACCCTAAACTGAGCCTTAAACCTTAAACCCTAAACCCTAAACCCTAAACGCCCTTAACCCTTAACCCTTAACCCTTAACCCTTAACCCTTAACCCTTAACCCTTAACCCTTAACCCTAACATTAAAGAATCCCTCCCTCTCGGATCCCCCTCCCTTCAAGAAAAGTCTGAGGCCAGATCATTTCAGAGATAGCCGGAGACAGGTAGCCATTCTCACGCCCGAAACCCACAAAGCCTGACATCCTTGCAGTTTAGGGTTCAGGGTTTTAGGGCTGAGGGTTTCGGGTTTAGGTAACCCTAGGCCCTAAACCCTAAACCCTAAACCCTAAACCCTGAACCCTAAACCCTAAACCCTAAACCCTAAACCCTAAACCCTAAACCCTAAACCCTAAACCCTAAACCCTAAACCCTAAACCCTAAACCCTACACCCCACACGCGGCCGGAGCCCGTGCTCGCGGAAGTCGGCAGCTGCATCCGTTTCGCGACCTTTGGAGGCCGCTTGCCCACAACGTCCCGGTGTTGAGCCCTAAGAGGACCGGTACCCCTATGCCCTGGTTTAGGGTTTAGGTTTAGGGTTTAGGGTTTAGGGTTTAGGGTTTAGGGTTTAGGGTTTAGGGTTTAGGGTTTAGGGTTTAGGGTTTGGGGTTCAAAACGGGTTTAGGGTTTAGGGATCCCTCATGAACCTGATTTAAGCAACAAGGGTACTGTACTTTTTTTGATCCTCTACTCTCCCTCGGGTTTGAAAAGTGCCGTGCGGGGAATGGTAGGGTGTCTCGGTATAGGCCGTGCAGGAGCCGTTGCCGCTAAACCCTAAACCCTAAACCCTAAACCCTATACCCTATACCCTAAACCCTAAACCCTAAACCCTACACCCTAAACCTAAACCCTAAACCCAGAACACGAGACGTCAAGAGAAGTGCAAAGGCCCCTTGAAGAGGCAGCTGCTGCCAAGCTGGGTAAGCCATTGAACTT